TAAATTGGTTTATTGAACTTCTGTCCCAGTTACCCTCCAGATTCAAGTTAACCCAGCATCCCAGGATGCCTTGCACCTCCTCCACAAGCCCCCACTTGCAGGGTGAGCTGGCTAGCCCTGGTCCAAGCTGTCTGCTCCAGCTGAGCAGGAAGGTGTGTTCTAGCACCCCTCGGCTTCAGGTCTGGGCCACTGCAGGCATGTGGCTGCATTTCCAGAATCAAGTGAAGGTCTGTTCATGTGCTTATCCGTTCAACCTATGCAGCTTAGACTAACCTCCAAAGATTGAATTAATTCAGCCTTGGGGTTTTGACTGTATGCTTAGCCCTGATGTTCATAATCCTTCCCAGTTCTGTCTCATTTCCAAACTTACTCAAGAAACTTTCTTGCTACCATCTAAACCATTAATAAACACATTGAATAGTATGCTGGGCCCAGAACAAACCTGTGGGGCCCCACTTGAAACCTCCTGCCATTCTGACATGAACCTATTGATAATAACCTCCTACTTGCAGCTATTGTGCCAATTATCTATCTACCTTATATTGATTGATGGGCAATCACTCGCGAACGAGTAAGATCATCTTGCAAGGATCTTAAGTGAGTCTGCAGGTGGCTCCATAGCCCAATTCTAGATCCACATGTCTTGTCTCAGTGAGGACAGGCATTTCCAGGAAGGATGGGCACTGTGCTGCTGCACTGGATCTTCTGAAGTTCTTTTCGCCTATTCCTTTTCCTCTTCTGCCTGTCGACAAGCTGTTTCAAAGTGTTGAGGTCCCTCCCTAAGAGCCTTCCTCCATTTTGGTTAGTCCTGAGCAAGGGTCTCCCAAGTATTGATGTTACAACTCTTCATGTTTGCCTTCAGGGTGTCTTTGAAGCACTTTCTTTGCCCTCCACTACTTCACTGACCTTTTTCAGATGCGATGAAAGATTCTCTTTGGAAGACAGGAGCCAGACATGCGAACAACACGACCTGTCCAGCGAAGCTGGTTTTGGATGATCATGGCCTCAATTATGTTGGAATTTGCTTTGGCCAAGACGCTGATGTTTGAGCATCTATCCTCCCAGCTAATCCGAAGGATCTTGTAAAGGCACCGTTGGTGGTACTTTTCCAAGCTCTTAAGAGGTCTTCTGTATGTGGTCCATAGATAACAGTTATCATAGTTTTATCTTGACCACATTTCTCTAACTTATTCATGAGAAAATCATGCAGGCCCTTGTCAAAAGCCTCGCTGAAGTCCAGATATGTTAACCACAGCACTCCCATCAGTAATTACTTTGTCAAAGACGACAAAAAAGTATGACACAAGCTGTTTTTCATAAATCTAGGCTGGCTCCTTGTAATTGGCCTTTCCTTCTCCAAATACCTGCAAATGGACTTCCTTAGGATATGCTACTGTAATTTCCCAGGCATTGAGGTAAGGCTTACTGGTCTGTTGTTCTCCAGGTCCTTCCTTTTGCCTTTTTTAAAGAGGGGCACTATGTTGACCCTTTTCCAGTCCTCTAGTACCTGGTCCATCTCCCATGACTTTATGATGATCATTGCCAAGGGCGCTAAGATCTCCTCTGTCAGTTCCTTTAGTACCCTGGAATTAAGTTGATCCAGCCCTGCTGATTTGAATTCATTTGGAGCTAACACAACCTCTCTGACCATCTCTTTCGTTATCTCCTCCCTCATCTTGCCCCCTTCCTTATCCAGATAATCCTTATTAGGTGTCTGGCTGCATCTTAATTTTTCAGTAAAGACTGAGGCAAAGCAGCTGTTAAGTAGATCTACATTCTTTGCATCTTCAGTTAGGTGTCCCCCCCCCCGGCTTATTAACAGAGGGCCTACAGCTTCCTTTGTCCTTCTTTTCAAGCCAACACATTTATAGAACTTCTTGTTGTCCTTAAACTCCTTTGCCAGGTTTAACTCATTCTTTATCTTTGCCTTCTTGATTTTGTCCCGGCAGGTTCTTGTTATTTCCTGGTATGCTTCCTTGACAACCTGCCCATCCTTCCATGCCTGTACACTATCCTTTTGCATTTGAGGCATTTTAGAAGCTCTTTGTGCAACCAAATTGGTCTCTTGCCATTCTTATGCTTCCATTGTGTCAGGACAGTTTTTTGTTGGGCTTCCAATTTTGTGCCCTTTAGAAGCTGCCAGCCATCCTTTAACCTTCAGTCTATCCTCCCATGACACCATGCCCATTAACTCCTTGAGCTGGATTAAATCTTTTTGAAACCTAGCATCCTAATTTTTCTGACCTCTTGCTATCCCCATCTCAGGATCTTAAATCCTATCATATTGTGATTGCTTCCTCCCAAATTCCATCACTTTCACATCTTCCACCAGTTCTTCCTTCCCTGTTGGTCAGGACAACATCTAAGATTAATGATCCCCTAGTTGTATCCGCCACTTCATGGAACAGAATATTGTCCTCCACACAAGTTGAAACCAGCCTGACATTTCATATTTGGCTGCACTGTTCTTCCAGCACGTTTGAAAAACTATAGTATGCCATCAGTACCATCCCATAGCTCAGTGTTTCCCAACCTTTTTCCCCCTATGGCACACTTACCTAAATAAAAAAGCACTGTGGCATACCGGACACGGAACAGGCAGGGTTAGGGGGGTGCACTGACCAGGGAGGAGTGAGGCGCACGGCCAGCTGGATGCTGACAGGGACGGGTGGCGCACTGCCAGCTGGATGGTATTTTGGGCTGAAGGCACACCCCCTGCCTAGCTGGAGCCATGCTCCCAGTCTGTCCGTGTCCACAGCAGCAGCAGGGGGGGGCGGCGGGAGGGGCTGGCTCCAGCAGCACACCAGTTGGGGAACGCTGCTATAGCTTTTGGATAGATTTGTCACCTGCTTGAAGTGTGGCTCATCCACCTCCTCTTCCTGATTTGGTGGCCTTGAAAATCATTCCTTTTAAAATGTCCTCATTCCTTCTATTTTCACCAGTATCACAAATTCACCTGAACTACATTCAATTTTTTCAGAGTCCCTACATTCTCCAATATTAATTCAAACATTTTACATCAACTTTCTAAGGTCAAATTGCCCAGTAAACAGCACTGCAACCAAGCAAATATCTAACAGAAACATCTCAATCTTCTTGCCAATACCCAGTTTTTACTATAGTCTTTAATTTTCCATAAAATATTTCCCAATGCCTTGTCATGAAATGTGTCTCAGAAATTTAACTCTATACTGGTACAGAGGGAATAAAGATGAACAGAAATCTCTCCCACTTCCTTTTCAAACACGGCCAGGATATATGGCATTCTGCAAAATATAATATACAGATTCTATCTATTTAGTCTTGAAATCCTGTACGACACTTGGGTCAAAGATTACAGATTTTTGAATAAAATGGAAAGAATGTTTATGAAACTATTAAGTCTGAACAGAATAGGGGGGTAAAGATACAGAGGTGACCATATGCAATCCAAAAAAAGCTGAGAAAGAGTAGGCCAACTAGCTAAAATTCATAAATGTTAGGGTTGGAAGGGATCTTAATAGATTGAGTCTGACGCCCTGCATAGGCATGACCCAAGCCAGATGCCCATCTAACCTCCTCTTGAAGACCCTCAGGGTAGGGGAGAGCACCACCTCCCTTGGGAGCCGGTGCCAGATTTTGGCCAGTCTAACGGTGAAGAAGTTCCTCCTAATGTCCAGTCTAAATCTGCTCTCTGTTAGCTTATGGCCATTATTTCTTGTTACCCCCAGGTGATGAATTTATAGGCAGCCACAAGGTTGCCTCTCAACCTTCTCTTGAGGAGGCTGAAGAGGTCCAGGTGCTCTAGTCTCTCCTCGTAGTGCAAGCCCTTAACCATACGAATGGCCCTTCTCTGGACCCTCTCCAGGTTATCCACATCCCTCTTGAGGTGTGGCGCCCAAAACTGCACACAGCATTCCAACTGCGGTCTGACCAGTGCCCGATAGAGGGGAAGCATCACCTCCTTGGCTCTGTTTGTCATGCATCTGCTAATGCATGATAAAGTGCAGTTAGCTTTGCTGATGACTTCATCACACTGACGACTCATGTTCATCTTGAAGTCCACTAGGACTCCGAGATCCCTTTTCGCTTCCAGGCTACCAAGCAGGTAATTTCTTAGGCAGTAGGTGGGCTGGACATTTTTCCTCCCTAGGTGCAGCACTTTGCATTTCTCCTTGTTAAATTGCATTCATCGTATTCTTTTGCTCAAGGTGATCATGTAAAATGGAACTCTGGTTAAAACAGGATTTAAATGATTCTTCAGAGAGCAGGGACTATTCCACTTGTAGCCCACAGACCCCTACAGCCAGCTCTCCCACTGCCACACAATGTGGGGTGAGGGTAGGGCGCATGCACCACTGGCAAGGCCTCTGGGGCAGGGGGATCCTGACCCAGCCCATGCTGTGGGAAATGCAGCCAGGGCTGCATGCCATGCCTACTGAACAGTAGGTAGGACATTCCTGGGGTCCAACCTCACGGTGTATGGTACCAGAGCTAAGTGTGGCCGCTGGCTGTGCTGAGATTGGACAGCCCTGTTATAGGGATACAAATGATTAGATATGAACGTGATCCATTAGCTCTACTTCATCTTTACCTCACATGAAATGCAAAATACAGCCGCTTAAGAGAAGACAGATTTGACATTAAATTAACAAATTAGCCTAATATAAAGCCTCTGAGATTTGTGTGATGTCCGATCCAAGATAACTATTAGTGAGAGTAAGTAGTCCAAGAAGTTATAATCAAAACTTTTGTAAGAGGCTGCCTGAAACGGCTCCTACATAAATATTTTTACACTTAAATAAGTAGCCTAATTTTCAAAGATACTAGACAAAGAGGTACCTGACTTTTGTCTCAGACATGTTAATTATAGCAACGGAGAATTGAGACAGATTCAGCTACCTGATAAAATGAATATTTACTACCAAGAACATAAAGTATCACCTATAATCCAATACATCACTCAGTTAAAACCAATCAATACAGAGGACATCATGTTCAGAAGGATTCTTCTTTCTTACTTGAGTTCTCTCCTGTATGAGCACTTCTTTTGAGGTAGGCACTGGGTATGGCTTCAGAGTAGCCTTTATTGTTGCAAAAATGAAATCTGTGTGTTCTTTAATAACCGATTCCAAGTAGTCACCTTCTGGAGTTGATCTGTAATACACTATAATCTCATCCGTAGGAACCAGATTGCGCTAAGAAACCAAAAATTTAATTAGGTGACAAGAAAATAATCTGTACAAATTGCTTCTAAGAGATGCTTGTTAAAACATTAAAAAATATTTTAAAGTATTAACCATATATTTATTAGCATTGAATTTAAAGTTTTCCTAAAAATGAAAACAGGGGTATTGGGGTTTTTTTTCTTGTTTGTTTTTTGTTTTTTTACAAAAGCTGTGTTTTACCAAGCACTATCGTATTTTGCTGAATCAAACTAATTAACTTTATAAAAATTCACGTCTTCAGTATGCAAAACAATCCAAAGGGGATCAAACACTAATCTCAGACCAAAACTTTGACAAATTTAACTTATAGTTTTGGGTCAATCTGCAGCTGTCGTGACCATGCACTGAAATTTACATATGCTTTATGTTAATGAACCTAGAGAACAAGAAAAAAGGTTTAGTAACCCAATGGTAAGAATTTATGGCCCTAGATTATGGCAGTAAACTAAAGGTGTACAGAAACAGCATTAAACATATTAAAGATAATAACATTACCAATGCTGAAATGCAATAAAACTAGAAAAGAACATGAGCAAGAAAATAAAATTCTCTTTATGTCATTCCTAAAATATGCTTTTTCAGTTGTCATCCCTTTATTCCTGTTGCTGATATGTTATGTTGTACATCCCTAGACATAAGTAATGGTTGTATTCCCAGTTGCTGAGAGATAAGAAATCAGAAGTTCTCTCAACCTGGATTGTTTTTATTTATGTCTGATCAGCAGGTTGCAAGCCCTCCACATAAGATTGAATTACATGAGGATGCATTTCAGTTTGGCCATTTCAGTTCCCTCTGTATACTGCCTAAGGACATATTTTAGGAAGATCATGTTTCCTTACTTACCTTCTTGCGAAGTTTTTGGATGCGATTTATCACTTCACGGGCAACTCCTTCATCAACCATTGACTGATCTGGGGTGACATCTAAGAGAACTAAAATCTAAAATAAGGTATCAGATTCATTAATAAAATATGCTAAAGTAAATGCATTAAAAACAAAGCTATTCAGTTAATTCTGGTTATGGGGAGGTGAGAGATTTAATCCTATTTGAAAGATTAACTCCCTGTATGTTTTTCAAAGTCATCTTCCTTAATTACCAAAATCAGCCTTCACTCCTCTTAGACAAACTACTGCATCATACGCAATTCTTATGGAGGAGGCCAAATTACCCATTATATTGGATTTTTAGTGGCAATTCTAGTAACATGGACAAATGCCCAGAAAAATGAACTGAGATTAAAGATCTCATTTTCAGTTATGCACTAACTTATGTGAAAGTCTAAAAGGGAAAGTCTAGTGGAATCACTTACTGTGCTACAAGTCTTCATTACTTAAATTGTTAAAACATTTCTTCATTGGGATAACTTCTGAATAAACCAAAGGATAAAAAAATAATTACTTCTATTAATACCTGAGCATCAGAATGTGCCTCATACTGGGCAGAGCATCCTGTGACTTGATCAAAGGTGTACATGAGACGAAGATCTTCCTCATGTAGTTCGTGGCCTTCCACTAAAATAATCCCTGTATAATAATACAATTATTTAAATTACAGGACCATAGAATTGTAGGAAAGTAGGGCTGGAAGGGACCTTACAAAGTCATCTAGTCTAGCTCCTCAATGAAGGCAGGGGCATCTTTGACTAACCCATCCTAGCTAAGTGTCTGTGTAACCTGCTTTTGAAAGCTTCTAAGGATGGAGACTCCACTGCTTCTCTAGGTAGCCTGTTCAAATGTCTGACCTCTCCCATAGTCAGAAAGTTCCTCTTAATCTCCAGCCTAAATTTCACCTGCTGCAATTTGAGCCCACTGTTTCTAGTCCCTTCCCCTACAGCCACAGAGAAAAACTCTATCCCCATCCTCTCTGTATCACTCTTAAGGTATTTGAAGTGTTATTGTATTCAAAAAGTATTTGAAGTGTTATTGATTTCCCCCTCCATCTTCTCTTCTCCAGATAAAATTAACTCTTTCAGTCTTTCCTCGTATATCGTGTCTTCCAGGCCCCTGGTCATTTTGGCTGCTCTACACTGCACTCCTCCCAAACTGTCCACATCCTTATTCATAGATTCATAGATGTTAGGGTTGGAAGGGACCTCAATAGATCGAGTCCGACCCCCTGCATAGGCAGTGCTAGGTCTAGATGACCCCAGCTAGATGCATATCCAACCTCCTCTTGAAGACCCCCAGGGTAGGGGAGAGCACCACCTCCCTTGGGAGCCCGTTCCAGACCTTGGCCACTAACTGTGAAGAAGCTCTTCCTAATGTCCAGTCTAAATCTGCTCTCTGCTAGCTTGTGGCCATTATTTCTTGTAACTCCCAGGGGCGCCTCGGTGAATAAAACCTCACCAATTCCCTTCTCTGCCCCCGTGATGAACTTATAGGCAGCCACAAGGTCGCCTCTCAACCTTCTCTTGCAGAGGCTGAAAAGGTCCAGGTTCTTTACTCTCTCCTCGTAGGGCTTGGCTTGCAAGCCCTTAACCATATGAGTAGCCCTTCTCTGGACCCTCTCCAGGTTATCCGCATCCCTCTTGAAGTGCGGTGCCCAGAATTGCATGCAGTACTCCAACTGCGGTCTGACCAGCGCCCGATAGAGGGGAAGTATCACCTCTTTGGATCTATTCGTCATGCATCTGCTGATGCATGGTAAAGTGCCATTGGCTTTTCTGATGGCTTCGTCACACTGCCGACTCATGT